ATGGGATGGAAAGGAAGGCTCGGCGAGCGTATAGAAGCGTGCTCGACCTCGTCGTGCCAACCTGTACGGCAGCGCTGGTAGGCGCGATGAGCGTCGTGCCACCTGACCCGAGACGGGTCGCAGGCGTCGTACCGAGCGCGTCGAGACCGTGTCCTGATGTGATCTGCACGGGTGAGTCACGTCGGCGTCAAAGGAGCGACGTGCGACCTGTCAGAGCTTGATCTCCAATCGCAGCTGCCTCTGTGCGTCCTGGGGAGGGACAAAATTGTCGCCGCCGGAGACGACTCGACGCCGCTGAGATTGGAGATCAAGCTCTGACAGGTCGCACGTCGCTCCTTTGACGCCGACGTGACTCACCCGTGCAGATCACATCAGGACACGGTCTCGACGCGCTCGGTACGACGCCTGCGACCCGTCTCGGGTCAGGTGGCACGACGCTCATCGCGCCTACCAGCGCTGCCGTACAGGTTGCCACGACGAGGTCGAGCACGCTTCTATACGCTCGCCGAGCCTTCCTTTCCATCCAATTAGGCAGCCTGGGAACGGTGGCGGTCAGAGGCAAAGCCTACGAGGGGTGGTGGAACCACATGTCACGGCTACTGCCGGCTCGACCCCACGTGGCCCACGATAGCCTCCGAAGGCTGACTTTGCGGCACCATCATCGGACGATGTCGACGAGTTGGGTCGCTCTCGCGGTAGCCAGATGGCCCCTCATACTAGGAGCATCGGCCATGGCCGCAGGGAGCGCGGGGGATGGCGCTGGAAGCAACACGGAGCTCCGTTGGAGACGTTTTCAAGATTAGCGTGTCAGAGTGAAATGGCACTAGCCACAGGCCTTGCGGCAGCGCGTCCGCAGCGGTGCGCTGCACCCCGCACGTGTCTCGTGTGCGGCTGCGGGTCGGCGCCGAGACTAGGTAGCGACTTTGCGGGTTTGCCGCTCTCCCGCTGCCCGCTCCCGCCCGGTCAATTGCCAAAATAATTATCGCATATCGGTCTCACGTGACACGACTGTTTTTTTTTTTTGCGCGTCCATCCTACCTTATAGGATATAGCTTATTGCAATATCTCATCATATGTGTCTAGCCGAGACAGAGGGCACACAACCCGCGCGCAAACACGAACGGAGAGAGCGTCCTGCTAGCGCGCCGTATTCTCTCTCGCCGCCCTTCGCCAGCCACCTCCACAGTGGGCGGTGGAGTGCACACAGTCGCATACAGAGCTCAGAGGCCTGAGGAGATCGCGAGACAGAGAGCGGCTGGGCGCGCAAAGGACACGGTGGACGCCCGCGCGCAACCCGCACACGCGCACCTCTGTCCCGCCAGCAGGGACACCCCCGCCTGCTCGACGCCCGTGCGCCGGCCGGATCATGGATAGGAGGAGAGAGGGAGAGGGAGGGCGCTAGCCCGTGAGGAGAGAGGAGGCGGAGAGGGAGAGGAGGAGGAGAGGAGGGGGGGGGGGGGGGGAGCAGTCTCGCTGAGCGCCGCGGGCGGTGCAGCGACGCGCCCGACGCGCCCTAGCCCGCCGCCTTCGGGCCGCCGCTCGTCCCTCGCCTAGTCCATCGCCTCTGCCGCGCCTCCGCGCAGCGCCGCCTTGCGCTGCTTCGCTTTGCTCGGCTTCTTCGGCTTTTGCGCCGCGCCGGCGTCGCCCCCGATGCCCATCTCCTCGTTGTAGGCCTCGAGGTTGTCGCTCTCCCACAGCTCCTTGCCGAGCAGCTCCTCGCGCTCCTGCGGTGCAGAGACGCCGCGCTCGGGGCGCGGGCATGCAGCGCACTGCGTGGACACAAGGGGCTGCGAGAGCAGCGAGTGCGGCGGAGGACAGCTTCGGGGAGGTGCGTCGGAATGCCACCCGGGCCGCTATTCGCTCTTCCGCTTCTAGGCTCGCTTCTGGGCTCGCTTCTAGGCTCGCTTCTAGGCTCGCTTCTGGGCTCGCTTCTGGGCTCGCTTCTGGGCTCGCTTCTAGGCTCGCTTCTGGGCTCGCTTCTGGGCTCGCTTCTGGGCTCGCTTCTAGGCTTGGGCTCGCGCTCCTCCGCGTCGATGAGCCCCCACTGATACGCCGAGAGGCCGAGCGCGCGCCTGCAGGGGAAAGTTCCGGGAAGGAGGGTTCCGAGAAGGCTCCGCCAGAAGGCTGCGAGAGGGCTAGGAGGGATCCGAGGAGGCTCCGAGAGGGCTCCGAGAGGGCTCCGAGAGGGCTCCGAGCGGGCCGGTTTTGTGCCAGCTGCTTGGCGTGCTGTGTGTCCAGCAGTCCGGACCCGGTGCTAAGGCCGGTGAGAGTGTGCCTCGTGTCGGCTCCCGAGCCAATCGTGTGCAGCGTGTGTGTGCGTGTGGGCCCGTCCTCCATGCTAGGAGGTGTGTAAGACTGACTGGCTTGGCGCGCGGACGGGTGCAAATCTTCAGCGTGGCGGCGACGGCGGCGGCGGCTACTGGTGCGGCGGGCGCGCGCGCCGCGTCAGCGTCTCTGGCTCTTTGGTGATGACGGCGTAGAACTCGCGCATCATCGGCACGAGCGAGAAGACGAGGGTGTTCTTCCATGAGGGGGGCTCGCCGAGCTCGGACTAAGGGGGGGGGGGGGTAGAGGGGGGTAGAGGGAGGTA